GGCTAACCAGGAGCACAGACTGTCCAGGGTCATCAGTGGCTGGCTGAGAGCACAGTTGGCACCATATCCAATTCTCTCTCATCCTATAGCTCACCCTTTTTCTTCATACCCTGTCTCACCAAAGGTCAACAACTTCCTTTATTTTAGTGGAAAAGTTTCAACTACCACTGAGGCAAAACACTATTCAAAATATCTGGAAACTTGGAAGGAGGAGTAGCCCAGTAAGCAGGATGGCATTGAGCAAGATGGTGTCACAGAGGGGCCAGGGCTTTGGGGCCGACCAGGTCAGTGTTCAACTCCTTGTTGCACTCATGAGGTGCGTGGATTTGGGCCAACCTCTTAGCCATTCTCAGCACCTGGCTTCCTCACCTGAATCAAATGAAAAGATGCCATACTGTGAAGGGCTGGGAAGGGGCTTGTGCACTTAAACTGGTGTCTGGTTGGGGGCAATGATCACTCACTTCTTCCCAGCCACTCTGAAGCACCAGGCAGTATTCTAATCAGTTCGTATATTAACTCAGTTAACTCTCACAGCAACCCCAAGCAGTAAAGACTATTACTGTTTCCGTCTGACAGCTGAGGAGACATAAAGAAGTGAGAGCATCACCAAGGATTCCCAGAGCTGCCATTTGAACCCCACAATTTGCCTTCAGAGGCCCGTGATTAACTACCACCTTCTCCTGCTCATGGCTGATGGCAGTGATAGTGGTGGGGACGTAGCTGATTCCTCTTTTAGCCCTCGGCTCAGTCACCTGTCCGGGAAGTGCTGCTAGGTAACCTCCTTCCTGTGCCTGTGCTGGCTGTTCCCACAGCGCTTCTGTCCTCTCCACCTCGGACCCAGTCCTCTTTCTCTGTTGTTCAGTGCCCAGTACAAAGCAAGCATCCTGCCACTGCCGAATGAACTGGTGGGCAAGGAGCCCCGGGTTCCCTTCACAGGTGAACAAAAGCTCCAGACTCATTCTAGCCAGGCAGCCTACACCTACATGGAGGTTTCATTGGAAGGCAGGAAGCCCATATATGTATGAATTTTTTCCCACAGGTTTCACGCCACTTGGATATACCATACTCTGTCTCTAAATGAATACATATTTAGAAAGGCCATGAAGAGAATACAAACACAGAAGACCTTCACAGGTTGTCACATCTCAGGATTCCAATCATGTCAGGTTGGCAGGCAAGGAGGGATTAGATTTTTCTTACAAGCAAACTGAGGCAATATATGTACTTATTTCAAGCTCTATACAAGTTCTATTACTGTTCTTAAGTGAATCATCAATATTCAACCCCAAAAAGAAAAATTAACTCATCAGACAATTTCCTTTTTCACTGTTTGGCAAACTCCTATTTATCCCTTAAAACCCATGGTAACATCCCTGTCTTTTGGGAAGTCTATCCTCATCCCACAAATAGAGGCGCTCGCTCCCTCTTTTGGATTACTTGAACAGGCTGGTGTAACTGCACTCAACACACTGCACTGAGAGCTCTCCCCCCATCTCTCCCAGGTGACACTGAGGGCAAAGACCGCCCTGTTAGTGCCTGTGTCTCAGCTCTGAGCTCGGTGCCAGGACGAGGTTAGGGACTCAGCAACACATACTGAATTTAATGCAAAAGAACTGTCACCCACAGAGAGAACCATAACAAACCAGGGTTTTTCATCTCCAACATCAAGGCCAGGATTTAACCATTGGCCTCAACTTAGCCCATAGTTCCAGAGTACTGTTGCATCAAAATAAAGTCCACTTTCTTTTTTTTGTCCCATGTTTTTATTATGTCACAGTTTAGTGGTATGAAGTACATTTATAGTTTTGTACAACCATCACCACCATCTATCCCCAACACCCATTCATCCCGTAAAACCAAAACCCTTTAGCCATTAAACTATAATGCCCCATTTCTACTTCCTTCTAGTCCCTGGCAACCACCAGTCTACTGTCTGTCTCTATGATTTTGACTTCTCCAAGTACCTTCAGTGAGTGGAATTCTGTACTATTTGTTTTTGGTAATAGGATAACTTCACTTAGCATAGTGCCCTCAAGGGTCATCCATGGTGTAGCATGCGTAAGAATTCCCTTCCTTTTTTTTTTTTTAAAGATAATAACCCGAATTATTAGATTTCATTAGAAACATCAAAGGGGAATGAAATGTTGTAAATAAAAAAGTAGGCAAAAAATAGTGATATAAAGCAAATAAACAGACATGCAAGTGTGTCTCCTGGAAGAAGAATCCATGGTTGAAAAGACACCTGCCTGAGTGATGCTGGTG